GTCAGTATTTGAAGTTGATAACCAGCTTATTGAAACAAAACACCGGGCGGATACAAGCTACCACTCGTGGTCCCTTCCAATTTGAAATAGCCTTTTGCCTGCTGTAAAGCTCCAAAAGCAACTTCAAGGCCCTGCAAAGATAATTTGTAGTAGAGAGCGTCATATCCTCACCTGCTGACGTAGACTTAACACCATTTGAAGCAAAAACAATGGACAAAAAGTTGAAATATTTCAGCTGAATACACAAATGAGAACTTTGGCAATATTTAGAAACCTCTCAGCTCTCATTTAGATAATAGAACCTTACTAATAGGATTTAAGTAGAATTCTTGCATCTCATACACCCTCGGGAAGATTGTGGGGCAGTGTAAAAGTTCAATTCACTAATGCCCAATTTAAAAACAAAAATTCAACGGAAGGGTTACCAACAAGGTAAAATCGATCCCTCAAAGTTACTTAAACCACTCTTGTGGATGTTAAAATTGCGGAAAAGACGGCTTTTTGGAGATTACATCCACAATATCTTGGAAATCATTTAAGTATACATGGACAGTCAAGGCAGAAAACTACGTAAAAGCAATCTAAATCACTGGACCTAAGAAAATCATTGACTTAGTTGCTACCTGTAAGCAATTATACCATATCTAAGTGATAATATAACCGATTTAGTAAAGAACATAAAGCATGGATAAAAAGCGTATATTGAAGTGGAGCGGAAGGAAATCTTACAAGAGCAAATGTCCGCTTTCCGATGTGCAAAAGAGAAAGCACACCCCAGCCAGTGACATATTCAAGGTCGGAGTCAGAGAAGAGGGCAATGCTAACTTGCAACACACAGAGATAGACGCCCTTCAGCCGGCGGCCCCAGTCGGCTGTTCAAGAAAAGGTCAACATTAATAAGACTTCGATCAATCTCGATAAACGAGCATAAACGACCTTTTTCAACCATTCTTGGATTTTTCCAGTTGATTGGTCAAAGGAACCTTATAAACGAAGGCATTTGAGCATCTCCGACCGATTTTTCTGGATGCCTATTTCATGAAGCCAAAGTGAACCCGAAAGCTTCCCATTGTTCAAAATAAGCGAACCACGATCACAACGATACTATACGAAGGCATAACCCAAACTTACGAATCAAATTATTCTAAAAACCCAAATGATTATTGAATACACCCTTTAGAAAGAGCTAAGTACATCAATATATAACATCTCCATACTAAAAAAACTGAAGGGTGACTTAGTTTCCATAATATTCAAGATGGTATCTATCATAAGCACATGACAAAGACCAGGTCAGCATCTACGTACTCAACTAAGAACTCTTCCTTTTGTTAGTTTAACAATCTAGTAATCCCCATGTTTACATCAGTGCGATCCGCCAACTAACGTTAAACGATGTTGTCACCGAATTCAGTGACGCGACTTTTCCAGTCTAGTAATTCAATGACTGTATTTAACCGCAATATCGCGCCATACTTACAACTTACTCTAATGATTGTGAATGGCGTATTGTGAAAGAAGCCTTCAAGTAGTCCCTTGAAAATCATATACCCAAAACCAACGTGGGCTGGAGATCGAGAGGGGAGAAATTCCTGGGGAAGCTGGACCACCTGCGAGAGACTGCGTGCCTCGTCTGTACAACGGCAGAATAAGTACTAACAATAAAAACCGCATAGAAAAAAATAAATCCAAACTTCTAAGGCATCGAAACCCTTAACTGAACGACTAATATTAATGTATCAAGGGCTGGTCCCGAACCCACCTACAATAGGAATATAGTTAAGAATAAATACATATCATTAATGGTAATGGTTTCAAAAATTTAAAACTGTGAGTACTGTACAAGTTGGGATAAGCCCGCTTCGGTAAGGGAGGGAAATCGGATGCGTTTAAGTTAGTGAGACGAAAAGTGACAGCCACTATCGGGCACGATTTTTTGAGACGTTTGAATCGGTAATTCGCTGTCCACCGACATAACGAGAGGATGATCTGGAAGTTTTCTTATCAAGATCACTGCGATTGGACCGGTGAGGAGAAATCCGATTGCGCGACGTGTGTTTGGGGGGCGATCTATCCGAGCGACTTGAGGTGGACGAATAGCTTGATGGTGATCGCGACCTATGCCGTCGCCGATACTTACCATCATTGTAAGGACTTCTGGATCGTTTCCTGTGAGTTTCACGGTGGCGAATCTTGCAAATAGAACTTTTGCGCACATCCGAAGATCTAACTGGGGAAAGTGATTCCTCACTATAGCTAGTGATCGATGCGCTAGTCGAGGAATGTCTGTGCCTTCGAACCTTGGATTTATTGTGCCGAGACACTGGACTACGCGAACGAGTATGAGTTTTGCTAGTTTTCTTGGATTTCAAATCCATTTCACTGTACGCAGTTGGACGACGCCTTTCTGCCAGACGAGGACTAAAGGTAAAAGAATGTTATCCGCGCCTCACCAATAAAAGAGGACAATTATCGGAGCAAGGAGCATACTTCAAGAGCTTCAGATCCTTGGAATCAGTCACGATGACCCCGTTTGTCCTCTCCAAGGTACGCTTATTTGATTCTGAGGACGCAGATATCTCGGCTTGAATCGCCTCCGAGACTGGTGCGCAAGGGGAACTTTTGGTTTTGACACCATTGGGAACAGCACGTTCTGCCTTCGATCCCGGGCTTTCCACGCTTAAGGCATCTGTATTTTTATTAGTTGCAGCAGCTGCAGCGGCGGCAGCTGCCACTGCTGCAGCAGCCTCCCTTTCTTCGGCTTGTCTTTTCCGAACTTCAGCTAAACGCGACTCTAGAGCGCTAACGCTTGGCTTTTCCCTAGCATACAAACGCTGAAGACACAATGCGATTTCGTGCACAGACTCGTCGTCAACATTAAACATTTCCCACCATGGAGGATGTCGAGGAAGAGGGATCCCCAGTCGTCTAGCGGCGAGGAAAATGCACGCGCAGGCCACCGCTTCTGGAGTGTGACGCACGAAGACATCCGTCCGAAGTACGTCATTCATGCAGTTCCTAAAACAAAGGACATACATCGACTTTCAAAAAAGGTGAGCAATTCTGGCTAGAGAGAAGTTCATCACTGCATTACTCACCACGATGTTTGAACGAATTCCTTGTTGTTCTCGAAAGAAAGCGATTTGAGATACATTATAATCAACTACAGAATTTCATACGTTATCATCCGCCTTACCTTATGTGGGTGCTTTCCATGCACACAAAATCCCAGCTCCTTTAAAACACGACGTTCCGCCTTAATAATGTGTCTTTTCAAGTTGACATAAGCCTGATCGAACAGTACAGGAGTGAACTGCCTGAAACCAAACATTACCAATATTTCTAATACCAACCTTCCTTCTCGGGCTTGTTTCATATGGTTAAATACATTAATGACCTCGCGAATCCGTCTGGGACACTCTTCTATCTTTGCAGCTAGAAATATACAAGCCATTGCGTAATGCTGACCCAGTTGCACAAACTATGACATTACCTCGTAGACGTATCTTACGAAGGACTTTGAGTAGAAATATCGTTGGTATAGAACTTGAGCAGTTGCCATAGCCACCTGAGGAAGCCTTAGAAGCGTTCCAGCGTCCTGAATAAGTTCGCAGCCAATATATCGAAGATCAAATTCTGTTTCTGCATCAAGGCCATCGAGATTGGATGGTGTGGGGAATAACTTTTCTTGCGGTATGACGTAGTTGTCGATAGAGAGGTGAACACCAGCATACGCCCACTCCGAGTTCGCCATCTTCAATGTTTCAGGACACCCGCTTCAACGAGAATGCGAAGCAAAACTATCACAAATTAACCAAGACATCTACATTTGAAAGTGCAGATGAAAGCCTCCTTATTACCCTATTTTATCAATTTTTTTGCGATAGAAAACATTTTATTTTTGACGTGTAATTGATCTTCGCATGCGCCAACCGCACCGAGAAAATTCCAAATAACAAACACGTATATTGTGCTAACCAAGGTGATCAAGACTCAGCGTAATTTTTGATTGACTGAATTTTCTAACAA